AGTTGACTAAATCATCCAAAATTCAATGAAAGTGGTGATCAGTATATGTTCAACTGTCTACTGTGAAGGATATCATAAAGCCTTAATGCAATCGAATGTAAAACAAAAAAGTTATGATTGATGAAAGTAGTAAATCGGTCAGATTTGACCCAAAGACAACACAAGGGTTAATGCCATATTCACTTAATAACGCATGAACAACTTTTACAAATATTTTCTATATAGTCTGTGTTGGTAAATGTCATCTAGGTTGCACATTTCCTGCTGAAATACATGCATGGGCCTACCAAGTTACTGCGTGGCACTTTGGTTTTGATAAAACAGTGTAGTTCCACTATATAAACGTTACATTCATAATCAAACGAGACAATCTGCAAGATAAATAGCTATTTGTTGTTATTCTTAATGCTTGTCATTCACACGTTAAGAAAATAAAATAAGTACCGATACATAGCAGAACAATTGTGGCGATGTTCAGCTTAATAAGCCTTGTTCAACATCATTTATTTAGCTAATACTACAGCGGGCTGCAGGCGAACCAAGTCCGCGTTTCGCTGCATTCCTTGATCTCCAGTTATAACGCCGGACTCCCCTGCTGGCCGAAGCTAACGGAGCCGCAGGGACTAGCGCGTCCCGGCGGTTCCGTTAGCTTCGGCGGCGCGGACTCCGGCGGCCACCACTGGGATAATTGGGTCCCCTTTTAACATTTGCTCCCGTTTATATATACATACATGTATAAAGGGTTACGTCCTTAGCTGGCTAATAAGCTACATAACAAGCTAAGCTAACAAGCACACAAACACCTGCTAACAGGGTTAACATGTATAATATTATAATTTTACTCACCGAAAAAAGCTGAGAGTAGACTTCTTGGAACTTCTGTTAGTACATTCAAGCGCACAGCACGACTTTTTAATTGTCTGGTATTTGTAACAATATTCCCTAAAAGGCACAATCACCACGAACACGGTCAAGTACAGTAACTACAACTAACTAACGTTGTAGCCTCTATGGTTGTAGCCTAGCAGAGTGGACAAGTTGCTGTTAGCTGACAGTGAGGCACGTACCTGTCACTCAATGTGACCACGCCCTAATTTATGCAAAAACTTTAAGACCTAATATAAATAAAAGGGTTGTGTTAGAAAACAATTCACTCACAGATTCATAATCATGAAGGTGGAATCTAACTATATTCATAATAATATTTATTGGATCCATGGGTAGAAACATGTTTTTTTAGGCTGTGAAATTGGGCATTTTAACATTGGGGTCTATGGAAATTGCTCCTTTCTGCAGTCAGCGCCTATCGGCCAATATATGAACTGCAGTTTGTGGCACTTCCGCATTGGCGTCCCGGCTCTTCCCCAGAGTTTGCCGCTTGGTTCACACCGGAGTACTTTGGTGTACTTTTCCCACAATAGTTCATCAGAACTACGATATATTTGCGTTCACACCAAAAAGCCCCAGGAACTAAAGTAGCTCAAATGAGTTCGTCCGACCCGCTTTTCAGTCCCTGCTAGAGAGCAGGGACTGTTGTGGGAGAAAATAGTTTGTACGTCTGATTGGCTGTGCGGAATGCAAACCACACCCGTTTGACTCTGAATTTTTTTTTGGAAGCGGCCATTGTATTTGCTCGCTTACCCGAAGAGATTACTTTTGTGAAAGCAGTTATTATAGCAACACTAAATAAATCATCGGAGCGGTGGAATTGATGAGGATGTCTCGGCGCTTCTGGCGATTTACTCGGAGGACGCGAAGTGCGGCATTCAGAAGCTTCTACTGAATGCAGTTTCTGTGGATCAGCAAAGTTAGCAGACCTGGCAAAGTCATGTCGTGACGACTACGAAGGTAAAATAAAATACATGCACTGCACTGTTTTAATCTGCACAATACTGGTCTTAGATGTACTTTTATTTGCTCAGTAGATCGAGCTAGCCATGCTAGAACTTGCTAACGTTAGGTCCAAGCTGGCTAACAACATCTAGCTAGCTAGCTATTCTCAGCCGTGCCCGCTATGAACACGTTTTGACTTGTGAATAAGTGTGCAATGTTCTGTAATTTGCTTCACTAACTCATGGCACTAATCGTGTGTTTCAGGCGAGGTGTTTCTCTCAGGATTAGAAACTAGTTTTCCCCTCCGGGATAAAACGATAATATAACGTTAGCAATTAGCATGCTAGCTGGACATAATGCTACCTCTGTATTGTTACCTCTAACAATACATTGTAGTTGCTATAATTTCAAGTAGTTTGCAACATTCATTCTACATGTTAATGGTAAAAGCTTAAACAGTTGATTACCTGCATGCCACAAAGACTGATGTTCTAATATTTTTGCACATTTAAGTAGAAATGTAATTGAAATTCTATTTACTGCCTAAACATTGTTCCTTGTCATAGTATTATCCTAAATAGTTTGACCTTGTTTCCTCAGAAGGCTTCTCAGACTACATGGAGGATCCCTCAGAGAAACACAGTTTCCACGTTCAGTTCCCCCCCGCTGAGAGTAGGCAGCTCCACACCCTGCGCCCGGTCAGCGGACACCATCAGGACTACTATCTGATCACAGAGGATCCCATCCTGACCGCTGCTGTCATACTGCAGCAAACAGGAGGGAATGGAGGTGAAAACACACTTTATACATTTAGATATGTGGAGCACAAAGAAAAGCATTGCTAAAAAACATTTAGCAGCTAAACTGTGGATAACAAGTAAACCACATTGGTTTGTTATTCAATATTCAAAAGCTTTTTGAATCATTACATGTCACTTGTTAGACGCTTTTATCCAAAGCTTACATACTCAATACTGTGGGCAATCCCCACAGGAGCACTTTGGGGTGAAGTGTCTCAGGGACACAACAACATGCTGACTGCAGTGGGGTTTGAACCTGTGCTCCCCTGATCCGAACACCAATGCACTTATCCACTGCGCCACACGCCTCCCTATCATGTCCTGAGAGCCCTCCATCCCCCAATTGTTAGTGCCTTCACCATTTAAAATGTTAATAGTCAAATCAAAGGTGTTCCCCGTGTTCCTCCTGTTGTGTGCCTGCAGAGACAGACTCAGAGGTGGAGATCGCCCACAGTGATGACTCTGACGTGGGGGGGCTCTCTGTTATGGGCTGCTCCCCTTCCGGTATTTGGACAATGTTCTCTCGTTGTTGCTATTAAACTGATCTTGTATCTTGCATATTTCACCTTAGGAAAGTGGGCACACGATGACAGCTTCCTTGACACCATCATGGCGATGGACCGCCGTGCCATGGTCAGCAAGGAGAATGAGGACCTGCGTGCCAAGGAGATGCACGACGAACGGCTGCTGCATTCACACAAGGCCCAGGAATCGAGGTGGAGCAACAAAATACCTTTCAGGCTGGGCTTCTGGCAGTGCTAAGCGAGCTGATTAAATCCAACAGGCCTTCAATACAAAAATTAAGAAAAACTTGTCGTTGATAAACTGTACAATGACTTGTTGGGAGGTGTGTGGTGCAGTGGTCTGGTGCGTTGGTGTTCGGATCAGGGGAGCACAGGTTCAAACCCCACTGCAGTCAGGATGTCGTTGTGTCCCTGGGCAAGACACTTCACCCCAAATTGCCTACACCTGGGACAGTTAATTTTGTATTATTGTGATTATATATATATATATATATATATGCCACTGTTATTAATACTGACACCTAACTTTGCACTAAGGTGTGTCTGCTGCTGAGCCTACCTATTGTTATTATATATATATATATATATATTGCCACTGTTATTATATTGTGTTGATACTACTGACACTTATTGATCTGCTGCTGATAAATAAAAGAGAACCTACATGCACAGCACTAGCATCATGACTGTCTTTCTTTAAACCAGCAGCAGTGCACAGACTAACCTGTGTGTGTGTAACGTAGTTCTTCAGGTGTGTATGCTTAACATGTATGTATTTATCACAGTAAAGATGGTATACAACAGTTTTTAACCTCATCCCATTGTCTTTAACACACATTTAACATAATAATATACTCATTAATATACAAATATACAGTATGAGTACTGTTTTGATACTGACATTTAATCTTTGCACTAAGGTGTGTCTGCACTATTGTAATTGTGTCTGTTGACTGGTAAATAAAAGAGAGAACCAAATGCACTACAAAAGATCAGCTTATTGTCAATTTACAATTTCCATGCTGGAGTTGAAAAGAGCCCTTGGACATTCGGAAATCTTAGATCCACTGCACGTTGGCACCACCTCCCACCAAGCCGATGTTCTATTGTTCACCCAGAGAGAGCGCGGGACACGACGCGTTCCGTAGTATTCGCATATCTGGAAACACATACAAAGACACAAATTAGCCCTACATAACTCCATAAATCCAACATTAGATAGTATTAATGTAATTTAATGAACGTACCATTGCTGTTCTTTGGGCGTGATAACGATCATCATGCTCAGCTCTCCTACGGCGAAACATGTCCATAGCGTGTGCTTTTCGTGGTCCAATCCTTTTATTAAGGCTTCTTAACCGCCTCCGACTCAGCATTTCTATTGCATTTGAATGGTCTATTTGTATTTGTGGTTATTGGCTTAAATAACTCAGTTACGAAGCTGTATAACACGACCACCAAAACGTCAACTCCATACCGTGCCTGAGGTCGGAAGGTAAACAGAAGCATACAGCGGAAGCGGAAGTTTTTTTTCTTCTTCTTCTCTCGGTTTTTTGGCGAATTGCAACTTTAAGGTGCATACCGCCACCTACTGTACTCGCCGTGAAGTTGTTTGCGGCCTGCCAGTAAACCCAAAGCAGAAGAAAAAGAAGTGACGTCAGCGGCTCATTTGCCTAATCCACCCCCAGGAACTCATTTTGGTGTGAACGCGATCTGCTTTAGTTCATCAGAACTAAAGAGCTCTCATGAACTAAAGTTCTCATGAACTACTGTGGGAAAAGTACTTGGTGTGAACGCCCCTAATGAGTCTCTTTCCACAAATCTTCACCTGCTTCACAAAAGCAGAACTGTGAGGAGGATGTTTCTCAACTCTTACTTCCTGACTTTACTTTCAGTTCCTTTCCATCCGCACCATGCGATCACTCTTCATTGTAATTACTGGAATTAATGTTGTCTAAATCAGGTACGAACATGCATTGTTTTGCGAATATTTTAGTTTTGTGTGAATTTAGTTTTGATACGTAAACTGAGCTTCATCATTCTGTTGTTTTTAGAAACATCAATCGAGGTATGAAAGCTTCTGTGTCCTCAAGCTATCTTTTGGGTGAATCACCTTCCTGATTGACTTGTTCTTCTGTTATTTCCAATGTGTATGTTTCTTTATATCTTGAATGTTTAAAACTCTGACAAACTCTGTAAGTAATCTTGTTTAATTAATGTTTTTTTATACAAATAGGCTAATTATGATGGAAGCAGGAGAGAGCTTCTTGAATACGGATTGTTATGCAGTGAGTGACTGTAGAAGAAAGCTTTAAAATGTGTGATTTTGTATTACTTATAATCAACTGAAAATCCTTGCCTTCTACTTTTTACAGTGTATTGTGTAATTTGTAATCATAATATTACTAACAGAACTGAACTTTTCTGCAAACCTAAACTTGTTTGAGAGCCTTTTATTTTATATTACACGTGGGAGTATCATGATGACTTGGAGGAACTTCTACGTGTATTGATAATGACTTTATTTTCAAACATTGGATCCGAACCAAATACAAATGTAATACTCAAGGTTGAAAAAAATGAACATATTATCGTTTGCTTTCACTGTGGATAAAAAAAAAAAATATTTACTTTTCATTATTCTGAGTCTAATGAGAATGATGTGCTTTTCTAAGATGGCCGCTTTTGGGTGATTGAAAACTTAAAAAAAAATTCCTTTTCTAGAAGTATGCTGACAGAGCATCTCGTTAGCCTTGTTGATACAAAATAAAATATGTGTTTTATTTCTTCTGAAGGTATTATTAGTAAGTAAATGTGTGGCATCTATGTTCTGCCAATATCACACTCCAAAACACAGAGTTCGGAAAACAACAATACAATTATTTAAAGACAACTTAAATCACTGAACTTCATTCACTGAGTCTCAGTGGGACTTTCAAAGGTGGTTTAAAAGGTGGAGATATATTATCATAAAAAACAAATGCCTAGAATTGTTGAAAAAATCATGCCTACAGTATATCTCTAAATCATATTTTCTTTTTACTTTAGTTTTTTTTTGTATAGATAATGGAGCCAATTAAATCACTTGAGACTGCCGACATTCAGCCACTCTCTCCCTCTGTTCCTGTTCCTCCCACCCTGAGAGATGGAGAGAGTTACCATGTCTTCATTAGCTACAGCAGCACTGACTACCAGTGGACCCACTGCCTCATCGACCAGCTGGAGGCCTGCGGCCTGCAGGTCTGCTACCATGAGCGAGACTTCACTCCCGGCCGCACCGTGTTGGAAAACATGTCCGACTGCATCCAGGAGAGCCAGAAGGTCCTGCTGGTTCTCAGCCCAGAGTTTGTGAGGAGCCGCTGGTGTCTCCTGGAGGCCAACATGTCTTTGTTCAGAGACTGCCTGGAGAGGAAGCCCATCGTCCCAGTGCTGCTGGAGCCAGGAGTCTCCGTTCCTCTCCACCTCTGCCACCTCACCTACCTCGAGGCCAACGACCCCGACTTCAAGAATAAGCTGCTCAAGGTGCTCTGCACACCCAACCAGCAGCTTCAAGGGTCCACTGTGCTGCCCTTTCATCCTCCCTCCATCTACAACGGGAAGGCCTTGCAGCCGTTGGATGCTGTAAATGAAGACAGTCTCAGTAAATGGGATTGTGGTCAGTTCAGTGACATGGAGGTACCAGACCAGCTGCGCCTGATCATTCAGGACCAAGAGAAGTACAGAAAGGCTGTGAGGATGGTCAACAGTGTGTCTCAAAATAAAGTTTGGTTCCGCCCCGTCTGGGTTAGAGTTTTAATTTACCTTTTTGGCCTAATATTTATTTTCCTGATGGCTTCATTCAATACATTTACAATGGCTATATTTTTCCAAGTCGTATCTGTGCTTTTTCTTTTGAGCTTTTTCTTGGTTCCATTGGGATTGTTTATTCATATCTGTCTCTGGAAGAATGATGATGAAAAGTACATAGTGAGGGAAATGAAAAAAGCTATTGGCCAAGCAAACATCATCCTCTCTGAGGAGAAAGTGTTAATGGGCCGTCGGTCCAACTCAAAAATCTCTCTGGTGTATGTTTCTCTGAACGGTTGCAAACATGAGTTTTCAGAAACGTTTTCCGATCAGGTTTGTGCTGAAGAAATGTTTCAAAAAGCTCTGCTGTACTTCTCATCAGGTTACGCCTGCTGCCTTGCTCAAAGACACTTCCCCTTTCCTCAGCCCTGCTCCACCGGTCACCTGGAGGGAGGGGTGTGTTTCTGTCAGTATGTGTCCCAGCAGCTGAGTGTGGACCAATGGGAGTAGCAGTGTCCACATGTGTGACCTAACTATTTAATAATAACTGGATCATCATGAAATGTCTGCATTATTATAAGACACTTAGTCCCACTGAAGGCACAGCGACTTTATTCATGTTAGCCCTCAGATATCAGAATGAGTCTCTTTCACAAACCTTCACCTTCTGCTTCACAAAAGCATGAACTGTGAGGAAGATTTTTCTCATCTCTTACTTCCTGACTTTATTTTCAGTTCATCGATCACTCTTCATTGTATTTGTTGGATTTAATGTTGTCTAAATCAGGTACGAACATGCATTGTTTTGTGAATGTTGTTGTTATTGTGTGAATTTAGTTTAGATACTTAAACTGAACTTCAACATTCCTTTGTTTTTAGAAACATCAATCGAGGTATGAAAGTTTCTGTGTCTACAAGCTATTTTATTCGTGAATCACCTTCCTGATTAACATTTTCTTCTGTTATTTACGATTGTATTGTTTCTTTATATCTTAAAGGTTTACAACTCTAAGAAACTCTTTACTTAAGTTTTTTCAATTACTTATTTACACATACTGTAGTCTAATTACAATTTATTTTGATGCAGCAGAAAGCTTATTGAATACTGATTATTATGTAGTGAGTGAAGGTAGATCAACATGTTTAGACTTGGATTTAGTTTTACATAAAATCAACTGAAAATCCTTGCCTTCTTCATTTTACAGTGTATTGTGTTATTTTATGTAATCCTAATTTGAATAACATATCTCAAGTTTTCCACAAACCTACATTTGTTTACGAATCTTTTGTTTTATATTACATGTGGGAGTATCAGGATGACTTGGAGAAATGTACACAGATCATCCATAACATTATGACCACCTGCCTAATATTGTGTAGGTCCCCCTTTTGCAGCCAAAACAGCCCCTACCCGTCGGGGCATGGCCTCTACTAGACCTCTGAAGGTGTGCTGTGGTATCTGGCACCAAGACGTTTGCAGTAGATCCTTTAAGTCCTGCAAGTTGCTGCCTCACCGGTTTTCCTTCCTTGGACCACTTTTGATAGCTACTGACCACTTCAGAACGGGAACACCCCACAAGAGCTGCAGTTTTGGAGATGCTCTGACCGAGACGCCTCGTCATCACAATTTGGCTCTTGTCAAAGTCGCTCAAAATTTTTTGCTTGCCCATTTTCCCTACTTCCAACACATCAACTTTGAGGACGAAGCGTTCCCTTGCTGCTTCACATATCCCACCCACTGACAGGTGCCATTGTAAAGAGATAATCAATGTTCTTCACTTCACCTGTCAGTGGTGATAATGTTATGGTTGATCGTGGTATATATGTATTGAAATTGTCTTTATTTGCAAATGAGGAATCCAACCCAAATACAGTTGTACTACTCAAGGTTGAAAACATGTGCAAGTTATTTTTTGCTTTCACTGTGGATTTACAAATTAATAATTGACTTTTCATTTAACTGAGTCTAATCCAGCTCTGAGAAAGGGACATTTGTCAAAATGATGTTACATTGGTAGTTATAAATGCTTTATGACAACTGAAATGTATTAACTATAAGTTATTATTTATGTGGACACCAGTAACAGTTAAGAAAGTGTGAGTAGGTGGAATAGTCCTTGGTCAGATCACAGGGACCGGTGTTTATTTCTGGGGGGATCTGATGGATGGATAGACAAGTATGGAGAGTTCCATACAGGTACAATGCATTTGGATGGAGGAAGTGAAAAGTGGCTTGAGAAACGGACAGAAGAGTTCAACTGAATTAATTTAGTTTATTTAAACAACTGAGGCAGCCGTCACAGCAATATGGTTAAACCCTAAACAAACTGAACATTATAACCTTGAGGAAAGTAGGTCTGTTTGCAAGACCTTGTGCTTATTCATATTTATGTGTAGTTAACAAACTGGAAATGATGGGAAATGAGAACCAAACCATGTTTGTAAGAAAGCCCACACATGTTATGTATATGGTGGGTTTGTTTGATGTTATGTTGTGGGTGTCTTTCCTTTGGTGTTCCCGGTGTGTTGAGCTGTTGCATGCGCGTGGCGTCATCGGAGTTGCCGTGCCTGTGTGCCGGTGATGTTTACTTTCGGTTTCGTTTCTGAGACGACAGTATCTTTTCCTCCCGTTTTTTCCTCGGCATTGTCTTTGCTTTTGTGCTGTTGGGTGTCGTGCGTAAATGCATAGAGTTGAGTATCTGTTTGTGCAATGTGAACTTGTCTGTGTTTATATGTGGTAAATAGTCATGTATGTTGATATCTTAGTAGGCAGTAATACAGTAATGTCTCTAGTTTGTTAGTGGTGCTGGATGCTAGTGGTAGCTTAGTTGCTACTGTAACTTCTTTGTATTTGTGTGTTTCACTCGCTTGTGTGGTTCAGTTGTATTGATTCTATAGTTGTTTATTATAGATATATTGTGATAATTATTAATGCTATTCCTTGTTTGTATTATCGTTACAGACCACACACACACACACACACACACACACACACACACACACACACACACACACACACACACACACACACACACACACACACACACATGGCTAACAGCAAGAACAAGTATAATTAAAGACCACTAAACTGGGAAAGTCTGTTCTCCGTGTTCTTTTACTGGGACACACCCATCCACACCGTGCCATCTCTAAACCCAATTTTCTGGAGACCCCGTCTCTTTTACAATGTTGCTAATAACTATATTTTCGTGCAAAGCTGTATCTGTGTATACTTCGTTTTGCAGCTTTACAATAACCTCGAAGAGTATCCTTGTAGGGCATTAATAATTCTGGCGATATTCTCACCTCTGCCTTCTCTTTAGATAATGGAGCCAATTAATTCACTTGAGACTGCCGACATTCAGCCACTGTCTCCCTCTGTTCCTGTTCCTCCCACCCTGAGAGATGGAGAGTGTTACCATGTCTTCATTAGCTACAGCAGCACTGACTACCAGTGGACCCACTGCCTCATCGACCAACTGGAGGCCTGCGGCCTGCAGATCTGCTACCATGAGCGAGACTTCACTCCCGGCCGCACCGTGTTGGAAAACATGTCCGACTGCATCCAGGAGAGCCAGAAGGTCCTGCTGGTTCTCAGCCCAGAGTTTGTGAGGAGCCGCTGGTGTCTCCTGGAGGCCAACATGTCTTTGTTCAGAGACTGCCTGGAGAGGAAGCCCATCGTCCCAGTGCTGCTGGAGCCGGGAGTCTCCGTTCCTCTCCACCTCTGCCACCTCACCTACCTCGAGGCCAACGACCCCAACTTCAAGAATAAGCTGCTCAAGGTGCTCTGCACCCCCAACCAGCAGCTTCAAGGGTCCACTGTGCTGCCCTTCCATCCTCCCTCCATCTACAACGGGAAGGCCCTGCAGCCGCTAGATGCTGTAAATGAAGACAGTCTCAGTAAATGGGATTGTGGTCAGTTCAGTGACATGGAGGTACCAGACCAGCTGCGCCTGATCATTGAAGACCAAGAGAAGTACAGAAAGGCTGTGAGGATGATCAACAGTGTGTCTCAAAATAAAGTTTGGTTCCGCCCCGTCTGGGTTAGAGTATTAATTTACATTATTGGCATAATATCTTTTTTCTCTGTGGCTATATTTAATATATTTTTAACGACTACATTTCTAGAATTCTTTATACACAAATCTGTTGTAGAAAGTGTGCTCATAATTGCTAGCCTGTACTTGGTTCCATTGGGATTGTTGATTCATATCTGTCTCTGGAAGAATGATGATGAAAAGTACATAGTGAGGGAAATGAAAAAAGCTATTGGCCAAGCAAACATCATCCTCTCTGAGGAGAAAGTGTTAATGGGCCGTCGGTCCAACTCAAAAATCTCTCTGGTGTATGTTTCTCTGGACCGCTGCAAACATGAGTTTTCAGAAACGTTTTCCGATCAGGTTTGTGCTGAAGATTTGTATCAAAGAGCTCTGCTGTACTTCTCATCAGGTTACGCCTGCTGCCTTGCTCAAAGACACTTCCCCTTTCCTCAGCCCAGCTCCACCGGTCACCTGGAGGGAGGGGTGTGTTTCTGTCAATATGTGTCCCAGCAGCTGAGTGTGGACCAATGGGAGTAGCAGTGTCCACATGTGTGACCTAACTATTTAATAATAACTGGATCATCATGAAATGTCTGCATTATTATAAGACACTTATGCCGCGTTTCCACTACACGGCCTCGCTCGGCCCCGCTCGGTATGGCTGGGCCTCGTTAGGACTGGCTCACTTTATGGCGCATTTCCATTACAGTTTAGGAACTGGGGCAGTATCTATAGTAACGCAGTGTAGGCGGAGCCGTGACGTGATCTTCAGAGGACCCCAGAAAAACAACACAGCCGTTAGCTGTTAGCACTCAGAGCTCACAGCTCCTCATATATGTTCAGAAACTAGACAAAAGTTAAACAAGTACAAACCACAGACTGCCTGTGTCATGGTGAATACAGTCGCTGCTTTATTTATGTCTGTATAGGCCGTTGTTGTGAGTATGGACGGTCGGGGCATATACTGCGTTAGCTTAGCCAATCTCCATTTAGAAAACAAGCATTTTAAAAGGTTTTTCCCCTGCCGTCTGTCTGCAGACTTGACAAAGCATTAATTCATGGTTTTTACTAATCGGTATCAGTATGTTGTTACTTCGGCATCATTTTGAAACGTGTATTACAATTAAATCACGGTCAAATATGTCCATCTTGTTGTAGTTGTTGCCCCCTTGCCAGCGACGCTCTCTCTAGTTTAGCATACTCAGCCCGACTCAGCCTCGTTGTCTCTGGCCCTGGCCCCACGATTTTATGAGGCCAGAAAAACTGTGAATTAGGACCCGCCGGCCGGTACTAGGCCAAGTGGAAACGCAACCAAAGACGGGCCGCTGACGTCACAGCCCTCTTAAACCGGGCTGCGGGCTGTAGTGGAAACGCGCCATTAGTCCCACTGAAGGCACAGCGACTTTATTCATGTTAGCCCTCAGATATCAGATTGAGTCTCTTTCACAAACCTTCACCTTCTGCTTCACAAAAGCATGAACGGTGAGCAGGATGTTTATCATCTCTTACTTCCTGACTTGACTCAGTTCTTTGCCATCCGCACCATCGATCACTCTTCATTGTATTTGTTGGATTTAAGGTTGTCTAAATCAGGTACGAACATGCATTGTTTTGTGAATGATGTTGTTATTGTGTGAATTTAGTTTAGATACTTAAACTGAACTTCATCATTCCTTTGTTTTTAGAAACATCAATCGAGGTATGAAAGCTTCTGTGTCTACAAGCTATTTTATTCATGAATCACCTTCCTGATTAACATTTTCTTCTGTAATTTACGATTGTATTGTTTCTTTATATCTTAAAGGTTTACAACTCTAAGAAACTCTTTACTTAAGCTTGTTTAATTACTTATTTACACATACTGTAGTCTAATTACGATTTATTTTGATGCAGCAGAAAGCTTATTGAATACTGATTATTATGCAGTGAGTGAAGGTAGATCAACATTTTTAGACTTGGATTTAGTTTTACATAAAATCAACTGAAAATCCTTGCCTTCTTCATTTTACAGTGTATTGTGTTATTTTATGTAATCCTAATTTGAATAACATATCTCAAGTTTTCCACAAACCTACATTCGTTTACGAACCTTTTGTTTTATATTACATGTGGGAGTATCAGGATGACTTGGAGAAATGTACACAGATCATCCATAACATTATGACCACCTGCCTAATATTGTGTAGGTCCCCCTTTTGCAGCCAAAACAGCTCCTACCCGTCGGGGCATGGCCTCTACTAGACCTCTGAAGGTGTGCTGTGGTATCTGGCACCAAGACGTTTGCAGTAGATCCTTTCTGTCCTGCAAGTTGCTGGTTCACCGGTTTTCCTTCCTTGGACCACTTTTGATAGGAACTGACCACTTCAGAACGGGAACACCCCACAAGAGCTGCAGTTTTGGAGATGCTCTGACCGAGTCGCCTCGTCATCACAATTTGGCTCTTGTCAAAGTCGCTCAAAACCTTTCACTTGCCCATTTTCCCTACTTCCAACACATCAACTTTGAGGACGAAGCGTTCCCTTGCTGCTTCACATATCCCACCCACTGACAGGTGCCATTGTAAAGAGATAATCAATGTTCTTCACTTCACCTGTCAGTGGTCATAGTGTTATGGTTGATCGGTTTATATATGTATTGAAATTGTGTTTATTTGCAAATGAGGAATCCAACCCAAATACAGTTGTACTACTCAAGGTTGAAAACATGTGCAAGTTATTTTTTGCTTTCACTGTGGATTTACAAACTAATGATTGACTTTTCATTTGACTGAGTCTAATCCAGCTCTGAGGAAGGGACATTTGTCAAAATGATGTTACATTGGTAGTTATAAATGCTTTATGGCAACTGAAATGTATTAACTATAAGTTATTATGTATGTGGACACCAGTAACAGTTAAGAAACATGAGTTTCTCTGGTTATTGCTTGTGCATGTAACCCTCAGTAACTGGTTAGAGAAACATGAGGAAGTCCTTATCTTGGTTTTGAGAAACCAACATATGCTAGCTGGAGCACTCTGAAAGAAAACAACACACTGTGACATGCCAACTATATTATGCCTCAGAGGGTAGAGTGGGTCATATACAACACATTATATAAATAAACTAAATATTTTATATTAAATATTCTTTCAGGTACAGACACAGGGAGCAGGGAGGACACAAATGCAGGACACACAAATACCTCCTAGACAATTCAGACAGAACAGGGCAGGGCAAGGCAAAAACAGAAGCAGAAACAGGTTTATTACCAGGTAGGTTTACACGTACGAGGAATTTGACTTGATGTCGTGGTGCATACATAAAAGTAAAACAAAAATGTAAAACACAGATAGAGAACTAGAAAAATATTTAAAATAATAACAACTATAGTAAAAATATAACAGTATTTACTGAACAGAACTCTTACATGATTGAGAAACACCAAAAGAAAACCAGAACTTAAATACATGCAGAACTATCTCAAGGACAAGACACAGCTGGGCAGGGCTGGAAAATCACAAGGGCACCAGGTGAAAAGAATCAGGTAATGGAACAGGAAGGAAAACACAGAGACAGGAAGTGAAAACAGACATAACACAGGGGTGAACACTTTTCAAAATGAAACAGAAAACACTGACCGATTGTGACATATACTGCATGATTACGTATACATGTACAGGTGTATCATTAGCTCAAATGACAAATTAGCCTAGTTCTTAAAACAAAATAAGTGATGATTAACAACATTTCGACACAATGAAATGGAATGAAAGTCCATCACTTGCAAAGTTGAGGTAAACTGTGTTGTGCTGTCTTCCTTTAATGCGGCCTTAAAACAAAATAGTGTAGTGCCGAGAGAAGGGAGACGGAGGCGGTGTATCGGAGGTGCAAATCTCTCTTTATTGAGGAGCAGAAACTGACATGCTATCGGGTCGAAGCCGCAGAAGAGAAGAGAAAGTGAAAGGGACACACACACTGTAGGTACCCCGGAGGTACCGTCAACATATATGTCCGGGCGGAAACAATACCCCCAACCTGTAGTTCCCGGATTGAATTATGTAACCCCAGTGTATGAATCAGTGATCACTACACAAGCCCCCCCAGAATTCAACCATGGACACAATCCTCGCGTCCGGGAGGAAGCACCACAGGGGCCGAGGAGGGCGGGCCATGGAACGGGCCGTCGTCAGGGGGGCCGCAGGAGAGGGTCGCGTCGTGGGGACAGGCGTGAAACACCCGGAGGTCCCCAGCAGGGAGGAGCGCTGCCCGGCCGCAGGCGAAGGCACAGCGGCGGCGGGCACGAAGTCCTCGGGAGGAAGGAGCCGTGTCCCCGGGAGGAGGGAGACGTGGACAGGGGAGAGGCCAGACGGGGCGCCGTCGAGGCGAACCGTGAGCCGCGGTTAGAGGAGAGGCCAGGCAGGGTCCCGAAGCGCGCCACCCGCGGGCCGATGAAGGCACGGGTGACGTTCGAAACCGCCGAGGCGAGGGAAGAGGTGAGACGGGGTCCAGAAGCGCGTCACCCACGGGCCGAAGCAGCCGCGTGTGACGTCCGAAACCGCCGTCGAGGTGGTGATAATAGCGAGAGGGTCCACACGAGGCCGACCAGACATGGTCGAACCTCCTCTCAGACACCAGAAAAAGCTCAAAAATGGTCGTCCCGTCCACGAACAAAAACAGGTGGGCGAAATAGCGAGAGGATCCACGCGAGGCCGACCAGACTTGATCGAACCTCCTCTCCGGCACCACAAAAAAAACTAAAATAAAAATAAAAAAAACAGTCGGATGTCAGCCGCTAGCTGCTGTGGCTAGCCGTTGTTAGCTGTTGCCAGCTGCTAGCCGATAGCAGTCATGGCTAGCTGATCTCGGCGGCCGTTAGTCTCTGGCCGGACATGCAGCCGCATGTCCCGAACCAACCCGGCACGGTCGCGTACCGGCCCCATGGAAGGCTTGCCGTCCCCCAGAGCCGAAAAGCCGTGGAAATGGCGAGCGTCGTCCGCGTCCATTCCGTGGGGCGCACCGAGCCACAGTCCGAGCGCACGTGGCAGCTACGGAGGTCTCCAAAAATCCCCGGCATTTCGAGAAAAAACAAGAGTCTTTTTGCCGTGTTCGAGTCAGTCCCGGATCCTTCGCGAGACTTATGTCAGGGTCACCAATGTAGTGCCGAGAGAAGGGAGACGGAGGCGGTGTATCGGAGGTGCAAATCTCTCTTTATTGGGGAGCAGAAACTGACATGCTATCGGGTCGAAGCCGCAGAAGAGAAGAGAAAGTGAAAGGGACACACACACTGTAGGTACCCCGGAGGTACCGTCAACATATATGTCCGGGCGGAAACAATACCCCCAACCTGTAGTTCCCGGATTGAATTATGTAACCCCAGTGTATGAATCAGTGATCACTACACAAGGCTTGTTTGAGACGAGCTGCGGCTCGCCTCGAAAGTAGACGAGAATAGCCGATCGCAGCCGGGGGAGGTCTCAAAAAACTCGCCTGAAGTCGGACAGCTCGGAGTCGGCTTCTTCTTCTTCTTCTTCTTCTCTCGGTTTTTTGGCGGATTTTAAACAACTTTAAGGTGCATACCGCCACCTCCGGAGTCGGCTTGACTCGGTTTGCATTTATAAATGCACACGGCATCTATTGCACGTCTGTCCGTCCTGGGAGAGGGATCCCTCCTCTGTTGCTCTC